AGGTGAGTGTTAGCTCCTCTTGGTCTCCTGTGAGCCAGGCACAGGCAGGATGGAATCTCTCTTGTATTGCAAGTTGACTGTGTTAGGTGTTCCCTAACTTCTGGGACCTGTAGGTGATCTTGGCTTACATGGGCGTCAAGAAAGGACTGGGGAACGTGGGTGAGGCAGAGGTAGCAGATTGTGTGGCCCTGCCTGGTTTGTGTTTTTCAGTGTCAAACCATCTGTTGCCGGTTCTGTTAGCAGACCCTTGCGGGGAACTCTTTCGGTCCTGAGATCTCCCACAGAGGGTGGGAAAGTGACGTGGTGCAGCCCTCCTGTAGGAACACAGAGAGGAAAGTAACACGGGGTGTTTGCACCCCCTCCGTCTGTCCCAGATGAGTGTCCATCTGCCCATCGGGCCACTTCTGAAGATTGTATCTGGAGCAAGTTCTTAGTAAGCTCATGTTCAGGAACACATGCACCCTGGGATTGGGCTTCCATGCTCTGTGGGACCCAGCTGGTAGAACCTGTAGCCCCGTGGACTAAGTACTTTGAAGAGAAGAGCAGGTCTCAAACAGCTTTTAAGTGCTTAGGAGAAACCATTATCTCTGGCTGTAGGTTATTAGCTACTTTCTGCTTTAATCATGAAAAACCTTCCCATCTTCATAGGAATTCTTGCTATTTTAAAGCTCTCATGGTGCTTTTTTTTTTAAGGGAAACTTAAGCAAAAGGGAAAATGTAGCTCCTAATACAAAGTTTCGGGGGCCTCTCATAGAACTCAGAATGACAGTTTCATAGGCAGAGGGAATTGGCCAGATTGGAAACATATACCTCATTGGCTGGGCTGGGCTTTGGGTTCGCTGCATTCCCGGCCACAGCCACCAGGTGGAGGACAAGACACATAGACTAATCTGAGCATCCACTTCTACACCATCTGCTCTGGGGTTCCCCCGCCTCTGGGGCCACTCATCCCTCCATGGCCTCTCTGTGCCATGAAAACAAATCTGCAGCCAAATTGGTCATCAGCATTGCACTCGGGTCTTCCCAACTGAAGCGTTCAACCAGAACTGTATATTCTACCCCAGGGTTCCCTGCTGTACTAACAATACCTTAGTGCCCTTAGGATGAGCGAAAACATCTAAAGAAGCCCAACTTTCTTCATGTACCACCAGTAACTTTCCAAGTATGAAACTCCTGAGAACCCCTAGAAAACTCCCACCGACTTCTCCCATGAGGACTGAGGAACATGTTAGTTCATACTCAGATTCGTTCTGTTCTGTAAGACACATCAAACAAACAGCCCTACACAGGTGAAGTTAGGAAAAGGAATGGACAGTGAGCCGTGACCCCAGCCCCCCACCCCACCCCACCCCACCAACTCGCAAGCACGGCGTCCAAGAGTGGGAAGGTGCACAGGCCATCTCGTCTCTCTGCCCAGCCTCAACCGTCTCATGCTGTTTCTAAAGCCAGGTGCGATCAGTTGGAGTTCATTCTCAAAGGGCACAGGTGCGGTGGTTGAGTGGGTATTTAAGTTGGCCACCCAGGCTGAGAGATTTCTTTGACTTCTGAGCTTCTAACACCAACAGCATCATCATCATCATCATCCCTAAAAGGGGTTTCTTCCAAAGTCCAGTCCTCCTTTGGCCTTTGAATTCCTGACTAGCCCTCTTCTCTTCTGCACAGGCCTGCATCCCAAGCCTGCACTTGGGCTTCCCTTGAAATACCTTTCCAACAGGGCAGCCCGTTCCCAACTTTGGATCTTGCCACAGCTTCCAAGACCTCCGCCTCTGGGCACCTCCAGCTTGAGCCCCTGATGCACTGCGGGGCTGCCCTGGGCAGCCAGCGTTCGTTGTTAAGTTCCCTCCTTGAAAACTGGTGTGTGGGTGTTCAGTTCTGTGTCTGGTGAATATGGACAGACAGTAAACCTCCCTGTGATCTGTGCTAGCTGTGAGGCAGTTCTGCGGTCCCCAGAGCTGTTTGGTTTGAACCGTGAAGAAAACTGTGTTTTGAGCTTAGCTAAGATTAAAGGAAAAATTCATCCAGTGACTGTTACTGTAAACATGGTTATTAAAATAACTAAAATCACAAACACAATGCTTCGGTCTTCTATGTGTGGCGTGCCTTTTCGCTTACCATAATAAGGTTGTGTAATAAAACCAAAAGGTTTGTAAGAGGGATGGTCTGATGTTGACAGTTATCTGGGGAGACCTTGTTGGAGGAGTGTTGTGGCTTTCCCCTGCGGTTGAGTTCATTTTGCCACAGAGTTGGGAGTGTGGTGACCAAAGTTAATGAAACATTGAAGAATGAATAAGGTTGTGCAGGGTTCACTAAATTGAGTCTTCGGGCTGAAGGCATTACCGTTTTGGATAAATCTTGCTGAGTCCAGGACACAGCCTGTGTTTCTCTTTTTTACAGTCATCGCCTTAAGTCTTAGTGTCAGGTTGCTTTATAAGCATTTTCTGCCTTTTCCTAAAAGTCTGGACTTGGAAATAATTCAACCTAACCATGTGCCAAAGTGTATTCTGTAGCAAACTGATCCCAAGGTATACAATGAGTATTTGAAGTGATTATTTGCTATGTCTGCTCTTCGGAGAGCTGTTAGATGTTTACCTAACACCTTGACGGCTCTGAGAAATCCTATAATCAAGAAGTCTTTAAGGCTTTTTCCAAATCAAGGTTCCCAGACTTTGCATATTGTACCCTCCTATCCTGTATTATCTTGAAATAGCCCACCACACCTGTTACACTAAACCCTTTTGAGGAAACACTACTGAATCCAGTTCCAATTTGGGAGGTCATTTTTTATTGCAAAGGTTAAATTAGTGTATGGGGATGGGAAGTGGAGAAGGGAATTTTAAAGTCTGATGTGACCGAAAAGTTTAGGGATAAGTTTGGACAGACTTAAACATAGCCGGATCTGAGTGCTAAACCCGACACCAGAACAGCGCTTCCTCTCTCCCAGCCGCCCCTGCCTTTAGCAGGTGCTTCCTTCTTAGGAACTTCTTTTGTACGTGGAATCAGTCCTGATCATCCGCGTTTCCAGGCTTTCCTTTCTCAGCGGACCGAGAGATTGCCTCCATAGGTCAGCCAAGAGATGGATTCTGCATGGTCTGGTTGGATCATGTGCACACCACTGAACTAGTTTCTGCAGCCCAAAGAGAGCGCGGGACTGAGTGTCTACACCTGCTCACACACCCACCCACTGTGAGCCACCTGAGCCAAGTGGATCTCAATAGCTCCATCAAGCCAATCAATGTGCGACACCAGAATGGGGATGAATGCTGGGCAGACAGAAACGACAGCCTTCATACCATACCCAGGCCTGCAGGGCAGGGCATGTAGATTTCATTCAGTGGTGTGTGTGTATGTGTGTGCGTGTGCGCGCGCACGTGTGCTGGGGCAGGTGGGCAAAAAAATGGAGGAGCCTGAAGACGGCCGTTTCTGATGAATTGCTTCTGTGTGATGAGGCCCCCTCTTGGTTTGCTGGAACAATGCCTTGGATACAGGGGCGTGGAGTTTTGATACCTTTTAACACAGCTCAGAAACCAGAACAGAAGCTGCTCTGAGCACAAGAAGTATTATTTTACAATTTTGGGCTCAAGGTTTGATGTTTGATAAGCTAGGATCTGTTGTCCCATTTTATGACTCAAACTTGGCCTTGGGTGAACACATCTCCCTGTTCATCCTCAGGGCTGGGACTTAATGGTGAAAAGGGTAGAGTTGGCACTCAAAGTGAGCCCAGCGTGTAGGACTTTATAAAAAGTTGTTGGTGCGGCAGGCATTTGGTGCATTGGCTGAGATGCCACTTGAAAAGCCTGCAGCCCATATAGGGACATGATTCGAGTCCTGGCCCTACTGTCTGTCCAGCTTCCTTCATAAAACGCAGCTTGGGAGGCAGTAGGTGAGGGCTCAAGTACTTGGGTTCCTGCCACCCTTCTAGGAGACCTCAATTGGGATATAGGTTATTGTCTCTTGGCTTCAGCCTGGCCTAGTCCCTGCTGTTGGTATCATTTTGGGAATGAGCCCATAGGTGGAAGATCTCTCTACTCACTCCCTGCCTCTGTGCATTTCAAATAGAATAAGTAAATTGAAAATTATTAAAAGTGAAGACGTGTTGTTGAAAACCGCACGTTGAATTTCACACCTTGTAGATGAGGTATGCAATGACTGAGTCGCAACCAACTGGGCGGGGGGATCAGAAATTTGCATAGTACAAGGGTCCTCTGGTTCCAAAGAACATTCTGGAAACACTTCTCCTCTCACCAACCACGAGCTGGAGATGGGGACTTAAAAAACCCAGCCTGTGAAGATGATCAGGGTACAGCTAAGGCAGCCAGTACTCTCCAGGGTCTGGAGTTGTCCATCCCACCCGTTGCTCGGTTGGCTGCCGAGAAGACAAACACTGACTAGGACTTGAAGACTTGCAAGAGTCTACTTACTTTGGTACCAGCTGAAATGCCTGTGGCTTGCTGGCTGCTGACCTATTGTGGATCAGGGAGGTATTTGAAAAGGGTCCTTTCTTCTCCTAAGATAGAGGGTGTTTTAAGCTGCAAGAGTCTGGAGCTGCCTGGTGTCTTCTCTCGGAGCATGGGCCTTGGAACGGCTCCCTGATAATGGGATGGGACAAGACCTTGAGAGGTAGGGGACTGGAAAAAAGAGGTGCATGGCCTGTCCTTGGTCTTGAGGTCATGGTTAAAGGCAGAAGCAGATTCTGGGCTGTGTCCCCAAGGTGTGACTGCTATGGGGTCAGCTTTTCTAGTTTGTATGCATGTGGACTAGCTGAGTGGTCCTGTATCCTTGGTTCCAGATCACCATCTCTAATGTAGTTGAACTCTGACAAGGGACAGTGCTTACAACAGGACATGGGCATAAGAACAGGTACCTAAGCAACCCAGTACTACTGCTTGGGAAAACAGTTACACACACAGACACACACACAGACACACACACACATGCATGACAAGGTAGTTCAGGGGCTTCCATTCCCAGAAGACACAGGCACATGTACATGACATGTGCTACAGCTCAGCAAGCCCTGTGTTGTTCACGGGCTGCCAGATCAGCAGCTGTTCACAACAGCACAGATAATTGCAGTTTGGATTTTTAATATCTGTTTAATATCAGACACACCGAGCTTGCAATACAATGGGCACAGGCAAACAGAAGTACGAGATGGGATTCTGTGCGGACAGCGTAGAGGAACCACCAGGTACTAAACAGACACAATGCTTTGCACCTGGCTTTTGAAGTGTGTGAGCCTTAGCATTACTGCGGCACCAACAAGCAGCAGCAGCCACTGCTATGTTGATGCACCTTCTTCCTGGTTACTCCTCCACCCAACATCCTCAGAAAAGCTGTGATGATAGAACGGGTAGTCATTTCTGGTTACCATGTTTCCTATCAGATGAAAGCTAACCACTAATTAATTAAATTACTATAATTAGTTTAGCAGTGCTCTGAGGTGCTTGAGGTCCTTTGCTGCCCTAGCAATGACCTTAATCAAATTCAGTGCTGCCGAAGAGGTTATGTTGGCTACCAGCAGAGCATCTGCCCCCCACCCTCCATGCCAGGAGATGGGGATCGTGGGCAAAACCGTGGGGCTCAGATGTCTCTCCCCCTCCCTGGAGGGCACAGGGAATGCCCCGAGGAGGGCAGCCGTGCTGCAGTGTCGCAGGGTGGGGGGGAATAACCAGCACGCTTCTGGTCTTCCAGACCTGCTGACAGGTTAGGTGTCTGTACAGGTGAGGGAGGAAGAAGCTGTTAGGAGAAAAAGGTGCCAGGCACACAAGACAGAAGGGTGCAGTAGCCCCCTGTTTTCTAAAAATCTCAACCCTGAGCCTCAACTGTCGTAAATTTAGAGGAGACATGTTCCACCCAGTGGGGTGTGAACTTTTAGGCCAACTCATTGCCTAAAACGGAAGGATCGTGTTTCAGTAACTAACAGTTACCAGAAGGGTTTAGGATTTTTTTTTTTTTTTTGCTTTGGGGAGGGTGTGCTGTCCTCAGGTTTAGATGCGTGGTGGGAGGTGCTGAGAAGCAGCTGTTTGAACTGCCGGATGCTGCGGTGTTTCTTTTCGGGCCCTGACGGGCGTCCATCCTGCACTCTGACACTGGGCTTTCTGACCACGGTGGCCGTGGTTCCTGAAGGCCAACGGAGGTGCTTCAGGCACAGAAGCCGCTCACTGGGATCCGAGTGAGAGAATGTACGTTGTTCCTACCCCATTTTAAATTGCATAGATGTGAAACTCTTATGACGGAGAAATGAACCATCCCAGTGCCCTGTGGGAAGTATTGCTCAAAGCCTACCCTCAGGAGGATGCAATTGAGGTGAGACAAAAAGGAGGAGCCAGGGCTGGGAGGTTAAGTCCATAGCACATCAGGACTTGAGGCAAAACAAGTCAATGACAGACGCTGAACATGCAGGTGCCCCCATCATTCCTGCGGTTTCCAGCCCAGAACAGAATAGGGTCGCCTCTTCAACTCGCCCTCAGGGCAAGTGCTGACAGTTTACAGTGTTGGGAGAAAAACAAAATAGCACAGAGGACAAATGATGTGTGGGAACTTTTTTTTTTTTTTTTAAGAGAAACCCAACAGAACAAGAGCTGGCTTTTGACAGTTCAACAAAGATATGGCTGCTCTTAGAGAGGCACTGTTCCACAATTGAGCCAGGGACTCTGCACTTACTCAGTGAGCCGAGAATGGTCAGGCTTGGCTGAGGTTCAGCTCTGACTTTCTACCCATGGCTAACTTGGCCCAGAGTGACTTCCCCTCTAGAAGTCTGCTGTAGCAGGCAGCCACTCCTGGGGCTTGCGTTTGCACCCACGTGTCCGCCCAGGGGAGAGTGTCTGTCTAGTCTCCTGTGTTGCCAGTTCACTGCCATCTTAGTAAGCCCCATCTTTTCCATAGTCAACAACGGGCTGCAGTGGTCTGGGTAGCCAACAGCTTAGAACAGTCTCCCGCAAAGTCTGTCTTCTCCCTCTACCCAGTGGAATCGGAGGGGCGCCAGAAAAATCATTCTTCTGCAAAGATCCACTGGGTCAGAACCGTGGAGTCACCTGTGGACCTCTTTCTTAGGTGAATTAGGCTTTGTGTTTAACAATAAATAAGGTCTAAAGAAAAAGAAGCAGTGAGACGTCAGTGGCCATTCCTACAGTGAGCGCCAGGGGGCGGGGAAGGCATGATACCCCTGTGCCCATACTCTCCAGGAACTTAGACCTCTGGAGTGCGAGAACGATGCTGTTGTCATTCTAGTCTATAAGGACGAGGATAATCCATTCAATATCTTAATGCATCTAGTATTGGTCAAAAAGATGCTAAAAATAAAAAAAATGGAAACAAAAATGACTTGTTTCATTTTCAAGGGGTGACTCATTGTCCTGGGCTTCATTGAGAAAAGGTAATTCCCTTATGTTAAGGGTCATCAGGGATGTTTAAAGGGGTAAGTTTTACTGTCTTCCCAATTAACATCTAATTTAGAATATACCCACCCCCACACCCAATGATGCAACATAGTCTCTTCTGATGCTCCCCAGGGGCAGGTCTTGAGAGGACAATTAGCCCCCAAGGAGCCTGCTTAATGTGGGAAGGCAACAGGCAGGCTTGGTGGTGGTGGGGAGAATGCCCTGATAGGTAGTATCTGCTAATTTCCGTGGTGCACATCCTATCACTAATTTCAAGTCATCAAATTCACTTCACTAGAGAGCCAGTTGGAAAGCAGTGTGCACAGCTGGCTCCTGCTGGCAATAAAGCTGATGTGGTGCTGTGAACCTCTGCTACTTGGAGTCTGATCGCATCCACTTCCTCCTCTTGGAACCCTGTGTCCCTAGCCAATCAGGCTTGGGGATTCTGGCCTCTTTATGCAGTGTTCTAGCCCTGAAGAGCTTCATGGAGTCCAGTGTCCATTTGTCACAGTGTAATTGCAAGGAAAATAAGTCTACATCCAAACATTCCTTTTAAGACAAAAATAAAGGTTGTTTAGAATGCCAGTTGTAGCACTAGACAGGAAGGATACAGATCATCTAATGTAACTCTCTCACTGTAGATGAATGAACCAGAACAGAGACAGTGGTTAAGTATTTGTTTGAGGTCGCACAATTAGTGGTAAAATTAGATCCCAGGAGTTAGGCCCAGGATGTTTTCACTTTATCATGCTTCCTCCTCCAAAAAATAGGCTTCCATATTTTCTAAGTCAGAGGTGTGCAGTGGCAAGAACTACTGTCAGTTTTCTTGATGTGTACAATCAGAAGTTCCTGGCGCACGTGCCAAGAAACGTGTCAAGAAGAAGATGCTGAGATCTCTACAGGCGGTTGTTCTGGCCATCTTCTTCTTGAGGGTGTTTGGTTTGTTCCAAGGCAAGATTTGCTTGCTTTTTATTAAAGTCCCTTTTTACCCTTAAAAGGAAAAGGAAAAAGAGGGCTTTATTCTCTGAAAAGAAAAGTAATCTATTTTAGCTTTTGAAAGGGTGGCATCATTTCTTATTTTATTTGAAAGGCAGAAGGAGAAGGCCGGCACCGCGGCTCACTAGGCTAATCCTCCGCCTTGCGGCGCCGGCACACCGGGTTCTAGTCCCGGTCGGGGCTCCGGATTCTGTCCCGGTTGCTCCTCTTCCAGGCCAGCTCTCTGCTGTGGCCTGGGAGTGCAGTGGAGGATGGCCCAAGTGCTTGGGCCCTGCACCCCATGGGAGACCAGGAGAAGTACCTGGCTCCTGCCATCGGATCAGCGCAGTATGCCAGCCGCAGTGCACAGGCCGCGGCGGCCATTGGAGGGTGAACCAATGGCAAAGGAAGACCTTTCTCTCTGTCTCTCTCACTGTCCACTCTGCCTGTCAAAAAAAAAAAAAAAAAGGCAGAAGAAGAGAGCTCTTCCATCTGCTGGTTCACTCCCCAGATGCTTGGAACAGCTGGAGCTGGTGTGCCAGGCTGAGCCCTCAATCCTGCAGCTCAATCCGGGTCTCCCCCAAACAGCCACCTCAAAATGGTAGCATTAAAAACTTGATAAAGAGGTAGAGATATGATTCAAGGAAACGCAAAATAGCATTGAATTCACGTATTTAAATCCCTATTTTCTTCATAAGTGAAATCTGAATGCTAGGCTAATTTACCTATCAAAATATTTTAATTTTTAGAAGAAAAAAGGTCTCTGAAATTTTCCAAATCTTCAATAATATATTTACATTACTTTTGTCATTAGAAAAAATTCAATTTAGTGTTAAAAATGTATTAAATCTCTGCAAAAAATGTCTGGCTGAAACACTCCCTTATTTTCTGCTGTCCTCACAGTAGCTACTTACTTTTCTCTGTTGAAAATAATGAACTCCTTCTGGACAGACTCAAGATGCTCTTGAAGAAGACATGTCTTCCAGGTGAACATTGGAAAAAAACATAAAGTGTGGTTAGCAGACACATCAGGATCCTCAAACAGCTGGTAACTTACTGAGTGTCTATTTAATGACTAGGCCAAGTCTAAGAAGCACCAAAGTATATTCAAAAGGGACGCTCTGTGAAGAAGCTTCTGGGAAGAGGCTGGAGTAGGAAGCACCAAAAACCTGTCTCCCCACCTAAGCAACTGCACTGGCAGAATGTGCTGCTGGAGCTATTTTTTTTGGAAGAGCCTGGAGTCTACTGAAGGCTTGCAACTTCCAAGAGAAGCTGTGAGCCGCAAAGGGCAGTTAATGATCCATTTCAGCTTGTGGCACAGTAGCAGCCACTCACCCCTGATTAGAAAGCTGTGCTCCCTCCTGGCTCAGAATCAACCCTTGGGACGTTCGGATCTGGCTAAAAGGTCCATGAGAGTCTCGCAGGCATGGGAAGCCATGACATGGTGGCAAAAAACAATCTAAATGAAAGATCCTGGTGAACAAGACCCCAGCAGAAGGAGCAGGCCATCAAGGAGGGAGGCGCCTTTCTCTGAAGGGAGGAAGGAACCTCCACTGTGATACGGCCTTGACTAAACAAGTTCAGAGTTGGTGAACTCAAGGGGCTTCCATAGCCTAGACAGCTCATAGCAAGAGTCTCGGGTGATTGCTGACATCATAAATAAGAGTGCCAATTGTTAAATCAACAACGGGAGTCACTGGGTTCATGCTCCCCACGCAGGATCTCTGTCCTTAATATGTTTAACTATGAAACTCAAAAACAACACTACTAGTCAAACAATACCCTATACCTGGTTCAGTTGTGTGAGTGCAACCTGTTGAAATCCCTGCTTAGTATATACTAAGTTGATCTTCAGTATATGAAGGTAATTGAAAATGAAACGTGATGAAGGGCGGGATGGGAGAGGGCGTGGGTGAGGGGAGGGCCACGGGAGGGAGGAAGGTTGTGGGGGGGAAGCCACAACAATACAAAAGTTGCATTTTATATTCTACTTAAAACTATTGGTTGAACTCTGTAATTAATATACAATTACTCTTAGGTGTGTAATTAATGCTATAACTAGTACTCAAATAGTATTTTACACTTTGTGTTTCTGTGTGGGAGGAAAATGTGGAAATCTTTACTTAATATACACTAAATTGATCTTCTGTATATAAAGATAATTGAAAATTAATCTTGATGTGAAGGGGAAGGGGAGAGGGAGTGGAAGAGGGGAGCATTGTGGGTGGGAGGGAAGTTGGGGGGGGAGAGGAAACTATTGTAATCCATAAGTTGTACTTTGGAAATTTATGCTCATTAAATAAATAAAAAAAAAGCTGTGCTCCTTTTCCTGCAACAGCCTGCATGGGAAATATGGACCACGTCCCCCCAGTGCTGGGGATCTCTGTTCTGATCGCTGATGGCTGCTTCCGCTCATAGAGGTGAAAAGAGACCAAAGGCCATTCTGTAGCACCTGCCCATTACTACCAGCCCCTCTCTGCTTGGGCTGAAGGGACTTCCAAGAGACCTAAAGGGCCAGCACCCTTTGCTTTCTCCTATCATTTTTTTTTCCCTCTGTTGGGAGTCATACATTAAGGACTAGTCCATTCAAAAACAACTGCATATATGGGAAAAACTATAAATGGCCATCTATGCCCAGGGAAAGGTACAAGCTCAAAAAAGAACCTAAGAAGATCTTAAGCTTACACCTAAGGCTAGTTCCAGTACAGAGACAACCTACTATAATAAACAACAAACAACAACAAAACCAGAAAACTCTGAGGAAGAGGGAGAACCTGATTTCCAGAGCTATCACTTTATCAGATTCAAATGTAGTCATCAACAACAAAACAATTAAGATATAACAAAAAAAGGAAAAAATTCACAAAAATTGGTATTTTCCCAGAAACCATCCTTTCATAAGACCTAATAGCAGATCTACTAGACAAAGATTTTAAAGCAACTTGTTCAATAAAAACTAAAAGAAGTAAAGATGTGGAAAAGGTTTAAAAAAAGAACCAAAATAGAAAGGTTAATAAAAAGATAAAAGCCTAACGAGAAAACAAAAAGGCATTCTGGAGTTGAAAAGTATACTTGAGGGGCCAACATTGTGGTACAGTGGGTAAAGCTGCCACCTGCAATGTCAGCATTCCACAGGGGCACCGAATCATGTCCCGACGGCTCCACTTCCGATCCAGCTCCCTGCTAATGTACCTGGGAAAAACTGGAAGATAGTCCAAGTGCTTGGGCCCCTGCACTCACATAGGAGACCCAGATGAAGCTCTTAGCTTTGGCCTGGCTCATCCCTGGTCATTTTGGCCATCTGGAGATTGAACCAGTGGATGGAAGATCTTTCTCTCTACCCACCCCCCATAACACTTTTAAATAAACATCTTTAAAAAAAAAGTATAATTGAAATAAATTCACTGGTGGAAATCCAAAGCAGATTTGAGCATGCAAAAGAAAAATTATAATGGAAACTCTCAAGTCTTCAGAACAGGAAGAGAATGGGAATAAACAGAATCCCAGGATCATGTAGGACATCATCATGTAGACCAACATACACCATGCAGAAATCTCAGAAGGAGATGAGAGAGGAAAAGAAGAAATAGTGGTTGAAAATATCTCAAATTTGATGACAGACATGTAGAAAAGGATCCAAGAAGGCCAACAGACTCCAAGCAAGGTGAATCGGAGAAGCCCTTGTTGAGACACATCATAACCATATGGGCTAAGAGGGTATCCAGAAAGAAGCAGGAGAGAAGCTACTTGTCACATACAAGGGATCCTGAATAAGATGTTGAGCAGATTTCTCATCAGAAACATTGGTGCCTAGAAGGGGGTAGGTATATTCTAACTGCTAAAGAAAAAAAAAAAAACAACTATTAGCACAGAATCCTATATCTGGCAGATCTATCCTTCAAACATAAGACACTAAGGCTTAAGAAGCTCATTAGACCTGCCCTGCGAGAAATCTTCGAAGGAGTCTTGCAAGGTGAAATGAAAGTGCATTAGACAGTAACTCAAAACCACAGGAAGAAATAAGGATCTCAGAGGAGACAAGCACTTTGGGCAAGTGTAAAAGGTAGAATTTCTGCAACAACAGTCTGTGGCTTGTTTTTGCTTCTTACGTGATGTCAGACACTAACGCATTATTTGGTTTGGATATTCCACCTGGACTTTATGAATAACCTTAAACAACCTCTCCTCACACTGAATTCTGAATAACATGTTCCTCTCAACAACTATTCTGGAGTTCATTAAATATACCTTAGTGCCAATTGATGGAGCCTTGGTAATTTGTGACTTTCTCATGAGCATACAAAACCTTTGTTTTAATACAGCACTGCCCCACTTAGAAAATCTGTTCCATCCTAATGAGAAAATTTAATCATAAAACAGGATAATTGTCAGTCCCAGGATAGTGTCAGATCCATATCAAAAATGTTTTAAAATCTGCAACAATGCACTTAAAATTATTTACGATGAAAAATATTGCTTCTTAAGAAAAATAAACCACATTAACTCACTTTACCTAATTCATATCTAGGAATTAGAATACACTGAGTCCTAAGTACTAGAGAATTTTCTTTTCTGGATGATTGTTTAGGGGACAGGAGAGGAAATTGTAAAAAAGCAGACAAGCTGGGGTATGTAGGGAATGACAGAGAAAAAAACAAAAGACTCCACTGTGTCTGACTCTCAAAGCGAGGTCTTTGTGTCCTGACACTTCCCGGTGTCAGCCATAGGGCATAAAGGACACAATCGACGTAAGCTGATGAAGCTCCTTGGAGCAGCAGCTTTACCCTATGATTTCAGAAAGTATATATTTTGTTTGTTTGTTTGCTTTGTTTGTTTTGACAGGCAGAGTTAGGCAGTGAGAGAGAGAGAGACAGAGAGAAAGGTCTTCCTTCCGTTGGTTCACCCCCTCAAAGGGCCGCTACGGCCAGCGTGCTGCACCGATCTGAAGCCAGGAGACAGGTGCTTCCTCCTGGTCTCCCATGCAGGTGCAGGGCCCAAGGACCTGGGCCATCCTCCACTGCCCTCCCGGGCTACAGCAGAAAGCTGGACTGGAAGAGGAGCAACCGGGACAGAATCCGGCGCCCCAACTGGGACTAGAACCCGGGGAACTGGCGCCACAGGTGGAGGATTAGGCAAGTGAGCCGTGGTGCCGGTGTGAAACTATATATTTTTAACATTAAAAATCAAAGTCATAATCAAGTAAGGTGCAAAAATCCACATGAATTTTTTTCCCCTATCCTGTAACTACTTTATTTAAACAAAGATATGAAATGCACATTTGGAGATGAGTCTGTGGTGTGACATCCCATGAGCCCCACCCTGGACCCTTACACACTTCCTATTCAGCCTGTTTGCCTTCCCCTGCTTCAGATGGGAAACTTTGAGAAGTGCAGCTAAATGGGGAAGCCGACAGCCAAATGGAAAATATGAAGGGAGAAGGGAGGCAGAAACAATGGAGGCACAATGGGTTGTGTATGGCTACAGGGGGATTCTGGCTGATAATCAAGACTCCTCATAGATAAGCAGAGTGCACAGTGCTCAGAGGTGGAGACGTCATCAGAAATAGCCAAAGGGTTGACCGCCAGTGCAAATCTCAGCAGCCAGAAGAAGAGGACTTAGGTGGTTTGCCTCACAAGGGAAACAGAGTGGCACATTAGTCTTTTTTAATCTATACTTAGAAGACATTGGGCATAAAGGGATAAGGTAGAGAATATTCCAGAAACAAGCAAATAAAACAGCCATATCATATGAGCATAAAAAGAATCATGGGAAAGAAAGAAGTTAGGAGCCAAGAAGTAGAAATGTGAAGCACAACCAACAGCTAGCATTTTTCCAAGCATTTGGTTTGTAATAACTTACTGAGAATGGGTCTAGGAAGCAGTACAAACATGAATTCCCTTTTACAAATGGCAGAGATTGAGACATGGGAAAAAAGACGAAGCTTCAGCATTCATCCTGGGTTCTATAGCGGTGAAGTTC